AAGTGCTAGAAGTTGAAGAGTTTAAACTTTTTCTTTTTAATATGTAATGGTTTAAGTTTCATAACCCTAACTCTGTACAAAGGTTGAATGAAAAATAAACTTGCGGCTGCAGTTCCCTCCTCCGCCTGCAGAGGGCGCGCCGCGTTACGCAAGTTCAAAACTCCGCAGTTACGTAATGACGTTCGTTTTTGTTATCTTCGTTTCCCGCCGTGGACAATGAAACACAAAGAAGCCGCGGCGCTGCGTTCACGGAGCAGCTGACACTAAAAGCAGCGCGCGTGCGGGATAAGACCATTACGTAACGCTGACATTAAACTAACCCGAGTCAGAGCCGAAACTCCATCAAATCACGGAAATCACACCGGAAGCGCTCACGTCCGGTCACAAAATAAAAGCACATTACCGGTCGACGCGTAAAGTAAACAAACTTTGTTGTCCGCGGGTAAATAAGACTGATAAAAACACGCTGTAAAATAATAACGAGTTTGCAGTTTTATACACACCACTACGAGGTAACAGGAGCTATACGATGCAGTAAAAAAAAATGAACAGGAAATAGTTTTTCGAGTTTTTAAATCCAGCTTTACGCAAACACGAGACGTTCAATGTCAGCCTTCTATGAACCCGACGAGCAAATATAAAACTTCAGAGGCCGAGCAGCAGCTTAGCGTTTCCCAGGGAAACTGTCGCACACATTTAACGTTCTTGTACACGGTTAAAGTCCGGCTAACAAACCTGCACAGTCACTTACACTGAACCCAGCGACCGGCGCTGCCCAGGACCGCCATGCCGGCGAATTTACCGTCCTTTCCCGGCGATAAAACTCTTTCCCCCGCTGAAATTAACTCCGGAAAGCGACGCTCTCTGCAGCGGATTCCTGCCGTAAAGCCAGTCTGACCAGGGTGAGTCTCGGGTCAGTCTGATGGACGGATTCCTTCAGCTACCACCGGCTGGAGGAGCTGACTTCCGTAAAGTTAGCGAAGAGCACCAAGCGCATCCGGTTTAGTTTTAAAACTAAAAGTCTGACGGCGCTTTATGTTCATAAAATTGTACATAGAACTCCTAAAATAAACGAACTAATGTTTTTGAATGACGATTTGTTCTACATAGATTAAGTGCTTTCAAATTTTATAAAAAAACATGACTTGTTTTACACTTTTATTGTGAAGGTTTTGTTACATTTCCGGTAAAACCCTTCTTTCGTTGTTTACTTCACGATCTTTCGTCACGTGTACGTGTGCTAAAGACCCCGCCCACACGCGTTGGCCACACCCACATCGTTGTCTCAAAGCTCTGTATTAGACGCAGTTTAAAGGTGAAAAAACAAAAACAAGTTTATTCTTTTGTATCGTTTTAATCTCACCTAATCTGGAGATCAGGTTTGGGTTAAAACTGATCAACAGATACAAACTTAAAAAAAAAAATTATTTAATTTAATTTAATTATGGGGAAACAAACTACAGGATCACTTTAAAATAGCATGTTTTAATCAAACTGAACAGAAATTATAAGTTATATTATTAGTTACTGATATCTTGTTTTATTTTGTTAATTTGTAGCGTTTACACATTAGTTTGAGTAAATCGTTAAATTAGATCAAGTGAGTAAAATGAAAACAATCATGATATATTTCAAATACATTTTATATACACGTAAACAAAAACACAGCATAAGTCAGGTTTTAGAGAAATTAGTTGAAAATGATGAGATTGCCTTTCAGAAAAACAAAAATAAACCATTTTGTGATGCATTTGAGGAATAATTTACATTTTTTACTGAAACTAATTTGCTGATCCTTAAAAAAGACTTTTCTGCAGCAGAAACCTTTTTCAGAAAATGAAAACTAAAACCGCTGCAGGTCCTTTACTTGGGTTTATTTTCATCCTTATTTAATAAATTCATGTTTGACGCAGTTCAGCCATAAAACAAGTTTGCACTTTAAAAAAAGTCAGATTGTTTTTCTGGGAAGCGGTGTTGCAAACAGCGTGACTCACTCTCGTGGTGAAACAAAGATCCGGTTCCTTCGGCTCAAAGTTTGACGAGACCGAAGCAGGAACTCAAACGAGCGCGAGGTTCTGAAGGACGAGGCTCCGTTGCTTCAACAGTCGGCCTCTTCTGGTGAAATAAACTTCTGCCGTGGTTGTAGAGGAACTTTGCCCCACTCTTCCAGGTTTCTGCTCACCGCGGTGTTTCAGGGAGCCCAAACCATCAGAGCTCCACCTCCGTGCTGGACCGTTGGTTTCAGCCGTTTCCGTCACAACGCAGAAATCCGTTTTCATTTCTCCAAATAAACCCTGGAGGCCGACGCTGCGATCGGCACCAACTCCAAACATTAAAACCACAAGGATCCAAACGCAGCAGCTCCGGGTCGAACCACGTTCGATTTCAGATGGAGACGCAGAAAAACGAGACGAGCGACGCCGGACTAAACCAATATACAAAAGTTTTTGTGTTCAACATAATTTCATCTGAATCTGATGGAAGTAAACGTCAAACAGAACAAGCCCAGATCATCACCCCTCCACCGCCGTGCTCCACAGCCTTTAAACCGTTAAAGATGAAACAGCTGTTTTTATTTTGTTTGTTCAGCAGCAAACACTGAAGCTGAGACGACCTTCACCTCGTTCTTCTGGCGCCTCATTCAAATCCTGTTTACTTTAAAAAGACGAAAACACAAAAAGGCGGCTTTAAATTTAGTTTGAAATCTGACCGAGTCATTTATTTGAATTAATCTGGACAGAAACCGTCGGGGTGAATAATTTATCTGCAGTTTTAACGTTGGAGCCGGTAGAAGACGATGATTTCGGCTGTTTGGCGCGTCTTCGGCTGCAGCGGGCGGCCTCAGGGTCGGCAGCGCTGGATGAAGCGCGGGTACAAGCACACGTCTCTGATGTGGTGTCGGTTCAGCAGCCAGGTGAGGAAACGCTCCAACCCGAGGCCGTAACCTCCGTGAGGACACGTCCCGAACTTCCTCTGAAACGCACCAGGACAAAACAAACGTCAGTTTTCATCAGAAACGCCTCCGACGAGCTAAAGGTGTCCAGACCCCACCTGGTCCGTGTACCAGTAGTACGGAGTCGGGTCGATGCCCTCCCTCTTGTATCCCTCCAGCAGCTCCTCAGAGTCCCAGATACGCATCGAACCTCCGACGATCTCGCCGACATTCGGCATCAACACGTCCACCTGCGGAGAGAGGGAGCGTCACATCGTACTGCGCTCGGAACCGAAGCGCTGCCCCGACGTTGGTTTAATTTCACGAATGAACCCTGAAACCTCGAGTGTCCAGTTTATTTTTACTTTCAACTAAATATCATTAAAATTTACTTTTTATACAACTGAAGGTTTTTCTAACTGTTGCAGTTTATTTATGAAAACAAACGAAATGCATCATTTTGCTGCCTTTAGCTGAATACTGGTCAAAAATCCAAGATGGCCGCCATAGCTCATCCTAAAATGGCTACTTTTGTGATTTTTAGAGATTTAAAGAGCAATCCCTAACACACACTGAACATAATCAAAATTTCAGCTTTTTTTGTTGTTGCTAAATTCAGCTCTTTTTTTACCTTTCTTTGGCTAGTTTTTTTTTTTTTTAGCTCCTTTCGGCCATTTTCTGCTAATTTCAGTGGTTTGAATCGATCCGCTTCAGGAGCGACAAGAGCTTCGAAGCCTCAGCACCATCTGTTACCATCACTAACTTTTAGCTGTAGATTTGTTCATTTTGACTACCATTCAGCTGATTTGAGCTTTAGCATCTGTTTTAGCTACTATTATGCTAATTCTTATCAGCCAAACAGCAGCTGTGGTCTTTGCCCCCCCTCAAAGTAGCTGCTAGCTTGTCAATCTGGTCAGATATAAACTGTTTTCTCCAAAGTGAAGTCGTTCAAAGGCCTATCTACAGCAGGTAAGATACTTACTGTTCAAAAGGCCAAGCTGAAAGATCTGAACTATCCCTTTAAATCTGAAGCTCTCTTTAAATAAAAAGAGCATTTCAGACATTTCCACGCACACGATCACTAAAGCTCAAAGTAACGCTCTTCACAAACAGGAGTGTCTGTCCTCAGAGCGCAGAAAGACGAGCTCGGGAGTTGGACCTACGTACCGACTCGGTGAGGCGGCGGTCCTCGGCGCAGCGCTGCATGTAGAAGGACTTGATCTCGGCGGGGAAGCGGCAGAGCAGGATGGTCTCGTTGATGGCGTCGGTCATCAGCCTCTCCGGAGCTTCTGGGATGTCCTGAGCGACGAGACAAAACGTTATTTGATAAAAAACGAGGACGTTCATCGAAACGTGTCCCCGGTCTGACGGGTCAAGACTGGTTCTGGTGGTCCATTTTGACCCTGAGGGGGACGATCCTCATCAGGAACGAGCCGCTTAGCTACTGTTTGATCATTTTAGCTTTAAATTTGAGCTTCAGCATATTTTTGTTCCATTTCAGCTACGGCTTGGCTACTTTGAGCTATCGTCTGCTAATTGTAGCTTGTAGCTACTGATTTGTAAGACTTTCGGCTGTTAACTTGATCAGCTACTTTTTTGCTAATATGTTAATTTGAGCATTTTGTTTGCTAATTGTAGCCACTGTTCTGCTAATTTTAGCATCTTTTTGTTATTTTAAGCTCCTTCGCTTCTTTTAGCGAGGCCCCGATCCGTCAGTCCGGTCCGGTCCGGTCCATCCTACCAGCACTCCTGAACAAGAACTGCGCTTAGACCGGTCCAAAGACATCGATCCAGTGTTTCCTAGATCCTGTTTTCTAATCATCTCTCAGGGCGGAGGCAATGTGTTCAACACAACAGCACTTCGTTTAGCTAGGTAACGGTCACTAATGGTGTGCCACAAGGCTCAGTTTTAGGACCCATTCTTTTTACAATTTATGTAAGTAATGAAGATCAAAACATTCCTGACGCCTCTCTATGCTGATGATACAGCTGTTTATTGCTGCAACTTCAAAGGTTTTCCAGCTTCTCCAGTCTGCATTCGACATCATCCAGTCTGACTTGTTCCGTCTCAAACTGGTGGTAAATGCTTGTAAAACCAAAGAGTTGCTGTTTTAAACAGGAAGTTGGTGCCAGCTGTTCTTCCTCCTCGCTCATCCATGCATGGTGTTCATAATGAGTGTGTGGACTCTTACAAATACTTGGGATTTTTTATTGATCTAAGCCACATATTGAACGCCCGATCAGGATGTGACAGATCTTCTAGCGTTAAATCTGAGTGTTCTGTTCAGTGGATCTGTGGTGCGTTCAGGCGTCACCTCTCCGAACTCGTAGAAAGAGCCGTCATCCTTCTTGACATCGTGCTCTCGGAGCCACTCGATGGCCTCGGTGTAGTTCATCCTCTTAAACGGCCTCTTGGGGGGTTTGAAGTCCTGGAGAACAGAACGACATTAACTCAGTGATCCTAAAGAAGAACCCGGGCCGAGAGGTTCTGCGACTGGGCGGTACCGGGTTGAGTTCGAGGAGCAGCGGCGCGGCGGGAGATTTGAGGACTCGGTCCACCACGTCGCAGACAAGGTCCTCCAGGCGGTCCAGCAGGTCCTCGAACGTTATGAAGGGACACTCGGCCTCGATGTGGGTGTACCTGTGGGCGGAGACAAACAGAGGCCTGTTATCAGAGCGAGAACCGCCCGCTGAACACCCGTGCGATCGGCCCCAGACTCACTCTGACAGGTGTCTGCGGGTGCGGGACTGCTCGGCCCGGTACGACTGGGCGACGCAGAACGTGTCTCCCAGAGCCGGGATGCAGGTCTCCAGGTAGAGCTGGGAGGACTGGGTCAGGTAGGCCTGCTCGCCAAAATAGTTCAGACCGAAGAGCGTGGAGCCGCCCTCCACCTGCGTCTGGACCAGCGTGGGAGGGGTGATCTGGAAGGAGCCAACAGTTTAGTTGACTTTGGCTTACGTTTGCCAACATCCTTCATCTTTTCTCTAAACATTCATGGATTCACCTGGAACCGTCCGTTCTCTGCTCATAGCTAATGTTTACTGTTAGCATGTAGCTAAAACCTTACGACTTCAAGCTTCAGACACTTTAGTTACTTTTAAATGCTGTTTTGCAAACATCATGTCACGTTTTCCTCCAGCGTCTATTTTATACCTTTAGCTAGTGATGTTACCTCGAACACCGAAGCTTCAAAGCACGCTTCAAACTCGATAGGGTAGTTATGCTGAAGCAGTGGGCCGGAGCTCGCTTCATGTGACGTCACCGGTGAACCGCTTCACTGCTTCATTCAGAGTCAGCTGACTGCCTCGAGTTGACAGGCGGAGTTTTAATCATTTGGCGCGATTCAGTGTATTTAAGATGCTCAAGCCCCGGTTCACATCCCCGTTCTACACATACACGTTATGAACAGCTCTTGTTTTTATATTCAGACAGTGGATCATTTGAGCCGGATCCCGTCAGAACAAGATCCTGGAACTCTTTCATTTTGACCGCTCAGATCCGACAACTCCGCCCCTAAAAGTCCAAAGACATTGCGCATTTTTATTTAGATTATTTATTAAAAGTACAACGAGTGGATGTTGTGGCCGCGCCACGCTCCTCCAGCAGAGACACGGACTGCATGTCCCGCGGGGAGCGTCTTCATCCTCCTCCAGCTGTGCGGGGAGCGTCTTCATCTTCCTCCAGCTGTGCGCCCTGAGACAGGTGTTTTACGCACAGCGTCTCCAGACAGCTCTGCAGGACGCGCGCACAACTGCTGTGTCGGAACCCCTTCATACATTACAGTGCATAACATTTCAGACATAATAAATAAGCTTACAGTAAAAAAAAACCAACAAAAAAAAATGAGTGAAGTGTTTGATGTGTATTACATCAAGTATCAAAACAACGGCACTAATTAGTCAAAATGACAGCGATCAAAATGTTGAAAAGACAATTTATCTAAACTAAATGGATGGATGGCAGTGAGACTGGAGCAGAACACACAGGACTGAATTCAGCTGAGAAGAGTTCAGGTCGGCGGTGTGTGTGTATGTGTGTGTGTGTGTGTGTGTGTGTGTGGGGGGGGGGGGTTAGGACACCTGACAGACTGTCAAGGACGTGCATTCATACACAGGCATAGTAATTTCAATTCAACCTTTATTTATACAGGTTTAGCCTTGAGCCTCGTCAAGAGAGACCTGTTTTTAACCAGTTTATTCAAATGTTTAACAACCTGTTAAAATACACCAAAATGCAGGAAATGGCTTCTTTTTATTCCAATTTTTCTGGGGGAGGAATCACGGACCCTATATTTAAATATATACTATATTACACCACTAGATGTCACTGAAATGAACCTTTGAATGAATGAACCCAAGTTCAATACAATTGGCAAAGTGGTTCAATACTGCTTTATTGCTTCATTTGGCCATCACTACCTTTAGCTATTACTTGCTTATTTTAGCATGCAGCTAATGATTAGCTACTTTTAGTGATACTTTTGCTACTTTTAGTTGCTGTAAAGCATTTCTAATTTTAGCTTTAGCATTTGTTTTCTTACTTCTAGCTGCTATTTGACAATGTTAGCATGTAGCCAATGATCTGCAACTTAGATTTTATACAGTTTAGCTTCTTTTTTCTACTGTTTTGCTAATAAAGTATTTCTAATTTTAGCTTTAGCATGTGTTTTATTACTGTTAGGTGCTATTTGCTAATGTTAGCACATAGCTAATGATCTGAGACTTAGCTTTTAGAGACAGTTTAGCTACTTTTAGCAACTGTTTGTTAATAATTTCCAACTTTGGCTTTACCATCCATTTTCCTACTTTTAGCTGCTATTTGCTAATGTTAGCGTGTAGCCAATGATCTGCGACTTAGCTTTTATACAGTTTAGCTACTTTTAGCTACTGTTTTGCTAATAAAGCATTTCTAATTTAGCTTTAGCCTGTGTTTTCATACTTACCTACTGTTTTGCTAATATCATAAGTTTAGCTAATTTTAGCTTTAGCATATGTTTCTTACTTTCAGTTGCAGTTTTGCTCATTTTAGCATCTTTTTGGTAATTTAATAATCCGTTTTGAGTATTTTAGCTACTATTCGGCTTCTGTTAGCTTTTCTTCAGACATCTGCGCACAGATTTGAAGTTCTGGGGTTGACCTTGGTGCGATGATGTCATACTAAGTTTGAGAAGCTGTTTGGGACTTGGTCTGCCGGTCTCATTAGGAGTGCTGTCGGCGTGGTCACCTCGTGGTATCCGCGGCTGAAGAAATGGTCTCTGAAGCACTGGGTGACGGTGGAGCGGACCCTCAGGATCTTGGAGACGTTCTCTCCGCGGATCATCATGTGCCGGTTGTTCAGCTGGACGTCCACGTCCGACTCCTCGTTCAGAAGGTTGTCGGCGCCGCCCGCCGGAGCCAAACCCACCAGTTCCCAGAAGTCACAGTGCAGCTCGTGGCCGCCGGGCGCCTGGGGGAGGAGGCGGAGTTTAAGTCGAGGCTCTAACTAGAACCAGGCCCCGCAGGCGAAGCTCTCAGGTGTGTTTACCTGTTTGCCCTCAGGAACCGGCGTGATGACCCCGTACAGAGCCACGGTGCTCTCCGTGGACAGAACCAGCCCGTTGTAGCACTGACACTGAAACACAAAGCACACACGAGTGAAACGGGTCGACCAGGCTCGTGAAGGTTCCGATCAAACCTGAACGCTTCGGCTCGTCGACACGTTCAACTTTGACCTCCGGAGCCTTCATGCATTAAGACTTTTGCACAGCGCCGAGGCGAGCATAGAACCAGGACGGTACCAGTTTGTCGGACAGGACGCACTGAAGGAAACCGGTCCCGTCTCGCAGCACCACGAACATCAGGTTCTTTCCTGTCAGAGACAAAGACCTTCAGCTGATGGAGGAGAAAGAGCCGAAGGTGTTGTGACTTCCTGTTTCTCACCCTGCCTCCGGAGGCGATGGACCCAGCCGAACACTTTGACCCGCTGACCCCTCTGGGCCTCCAGCTGCTGGATCTTAACCTGAACAAAGGTTTCAAACATTTAGCTCCTCACTCGCCGTATTTTAGCTGTTTTACACTCAGTGATCATAATGTTACGGCTGGTTGTTGTAACACTCTTATTGCTGATTCAGCATTCATAAAATGTAGCTACTTTTAGCTTCTAGCCAGTCTTTTGCAATTTCAGCTAACATTTAGCCACTTTCAAGTAACCTTCTGCTGCTTTTATCTTTTAGCTAGCCTTTTACTACTTATAACCAGCCTATGGCTACATTAAACTAGCCTTTTGCAACTTTAATCTTCCAGCTACCATTTTGCTTATTTTAGCTTTAAGCTAGCCTTTTGCTACTGTAAGCATCTAGCTACTGTTTTGCAACTTTTAGCTTTTACCCAGCCTTTTCCTACTTTTAGCATACAACTGGCCTTTTGCTACTTTTAGCTTCTAGCCCAGACTTTTAATATTTTCAGCTAACCTTTTGTGACGTTTAAATAACCTTTTGCTGTCTTTTTAGCTTTAGGCTACAATTCTGCCACTTTTAGCTCTGAGTCAACCTTTTGCTACAGTTAATGAGCCTTTGACTAGTTTTACCTAGGCATTGCTAATTTTTGTTTTTAGTCAGCTTTTGTTACTTTCAAGCAACCTTTTGCTACTTTTAGCTTTAAGCTACTGTTCCGTTACTTAAACAAGATTTTTGCTATTTTAGCTAAACTTTTGCAATTTTCAGGGAGCCTATTGATACTTTTAGGTTTTTTATACATTAAGCTTCTAGCTAAACTTTTGCAGCTTTTAGCATTTAGGTAGCTTTTTGTTACTTTTAGCTTTAAGCTAGCATTTTGCTACATTTTATTTTAAGTTACCATTCTGCCACTTTTAGCTTCTAGCTAACATTTTGCTTCTTTAGTTAGCATTTAGTTACTTTAAACTGGCATTTGCTTCTTTTTGTTTTTAGCCAAGCTTTAGTTACTTTAGGTAACCTTTTACTACTTTTAGCTTTAAGCTACTGATCTGCGACCTTTAGCTTCTAGCTAGCTTTTTTGCAACTTTCAGGTAACGTTTTAATACGTTTAGCCACATTTGTTATTTTCAGGTAATCTTTAGCTACTTTTAGTTCTTTAGCTTTGGAACCAGCCAAAGCTTTTGAAACTTAGCAGACCGTCGGCGGTTCCGGCAGACTCGGGTCTTTCTCGATGATGATCTTCATGGCCTCCTCCAGGTTCTTCTCTCGCCTCTCATTGTCTTCAGCCTGAACAACGAAACGCAGAGTCACAATTAAAAACGTGGTTCTAACTCACATTTTTAATCGTGGGTCAGAACCACCCACAATTAATCATTTTTAATCGGGTCCTAAGACTGAGCCTTGCGGTACACCATTATAGACAGCTAAATAGCTAGAAGTACGATTGTGGTGAACACACTGCCTTCGACCTGAGAGACAGAAAACCATCTGACAGTGTGATCTGATGTGAGACGTTTGTTTTTCACGGATCATTTGTTTCATTTGTTGACATTTATTTGCTCCGTTTTACAAACAAGACGGAGCCAAACTTGTGGCTTCAAAATTAAAGCACACTGTTGATTCGCTCTCATTTAGTTGTGTCAAAATAAAAGCCCCCAGCCTCAGGTTCTGTTTGGTGACCCGGCGTTAACGGGCCACAAACCTCTTTCTTTTCTTTGGCTTCGTTCTTCGTCTGCTCGCGGTTGAAGGCTTTCTTTGCGTTCTTCATCTGCGTTTTGGAGATCACTGCCCAGCGCTGAATAAACAAACAAACAAACAAAAATAAACAAAACAATAAAACAAATAAGTTGGACCTTTAGGAGCAAACCCACCTCTCCCTCCTTCTGAGACTCCATGTAGATCGTCGGGAACGGCTCCTTTCCAGCAAACAACAGAGCCTGAGAGGATTTGTTTACAAACAAAATGAGACACTGACGGAAAGATAAACAACAACAAAACCCTGTAAACAAGTAAAGTAAACAGGAAGGGGAGCTGTTACCTTCAAGGGAGTTTTGAAAGGTTTCTGTTCTGAACCGTCTCCATCCTGATCACTGCCATGTTTATCAGAAACATACAGCTGCTCACCTGACAAACAAACAAACAAACAAACAAACAAACAAACGGCTCTGATTGAAACAGTCTTTTTTATAGGATTTTCTAAAAATAAGCGTCTAAACATTTATTATGAACTTAGTTGAGTTCCAGCAGACGGTCTTAAATTAAACAAAACACAAAATGTTTACTTTCAGTTTTAACCTTTTACAAAGCTAAACCTTCGGCTCCTTACGGGACAGCGAGCCGAGAACTTTGGTTTCTGTAACTTTGATGATTTTCTAAATATTTAAGTTTAAACTCCCGAAGATACACGAGAAGTCTTCAACACCTTCACAAACTTTGTTCTCGACTGGCTGTTAGTCCTTTTATGCTACTTTTAGCTTTTAGATACTGTTTTGGACTCTTTGATTGTTTTGGCAATTTTAGCTAAAGCTTTGGTAATTATAGGTACTGTTAGGCTTATTTTAGCTTCAGAATTGTTTTTGCCGCTTCTAGCATGCCTTAGCTACTTCAGCATGCGTTTCGCTACTTCTAATTTACATTTAAATACTTCTAGCATCTAGCATATGTTGAGCTACTTCTAGCATACGTTTAGCTACTTCTAACATACGTTTAGCTATGTGTAGCATACATTTAGCTACTTCTAGCATACGTTTAGCTATTTCTAGCATAGGTTTAGCTACTTCTAACATACATTTAGCTACTTGTAGCATATGTTTAGCTACTTCTAGCATATGTTTAGCTACTTCTAGCATAGGTTTAGCTACTTCTAGCATATGTTTAGCTACTTGTAGCATATGTTTAGCTACTTGTAGCATATGTTTAGCTACTTGTAGCATATGTTTAGCTACTTGTAGCATATGTTTAGCGACTTCTTTCATATGTTTAGCGACTTCTTTCATAT